GCATAAAATTACTGTTATTTAATAATCCGTTAAGATCCTAATTTCGTAAGCCGATTGTTTTGCTTCAAATATAATATTTTCTACACAATATACTGATGAAATTGAAATTTTTAGGTGATTCAGTGCTTGATTGATGCGTAATCAAGACTTGACTAGTTGAGTTGGTAGAATTGAGATTAAAATATTTAATTTGTGGGGTGTGCGCGATAGACTTACCTCCACGTGGTGCACCCTGGGCAGCATATACTCATACGGCAAAAAGTCTATTAATCAGCAGTTGACTTCTGACTTCAAACTACTAAGACCTCACCGCATTTCATATTCGACTAATTCCACAGAACTCACCTCACTTTTTTCTACCATTGTGTCTGTCTGTCTCGTTTACGTCTGTGAATCATCATTCTGTTCTCCTCTCTACTTTTTGCCTCTTTGATGTCTCTCTTCCTTTCTGTGAAGCCCGAAGTCAACTAAAGGGCTAATGATACCTATCATAACGCCTGCCATTTGAAAATAAATAAATAAATAAATATTTATTTATTTTGATGATTTATCACCTAATTCAAGTGTTGAATAATAAGGGAAAATTTTTTATGATACTAGATCGTAATAAGCCTCGCCACAAATTGCCCAGTTTTTTCCCAACCTACATTATCCATTAAATAGTCCAAACTACTAGAAGCATATTGACTAAAAGCCTCTAGAAAGTACAATAAATGATTAAATAAAATGCCTATCTCAATCAAAATATCACTTTTCTTCGTTTTCGTAAATATGCAAGAATATAACACACTGAATATAGTCAGCATTAGTGTATCCTTGTGGTGTTGCAATAATGTATGGCTTCAAAAACAGACGGCCAAAATCGCAGATAAAATGATTTTATTATGGAGAAAACTTAAGAAAATACAAACAGTGTCCAAGTATATAAAATTATTATCTTACTGCCAAAATTTTCTACCAGAAGTTGAAACACTCTAGTCAACTTTAAATAGTAAGAATATTTAACCAGTCATTTTCTGCAGAAACAAAAAACTACCAATTTATCTTTATTTCAAGCAAATTTAGGTCGAGTGAGGAGTATGGAAATTATTGAAATCGATTAACAGTATGTTCATAGTTAATTAGGAAATGGGGTTTCTTAAGATATAAAGCTAATCCCCATTTGATTTTTTAACACTAAATAAATTAGTAAAATCTGCTTATAAATTCAAATTCATTGATATCTCAAGCGGGCTGCTATAAATTCTTCTTTTAATTCAAAATTGATCGGTCATCTATCTTTTGCCTGTTTCATCCAGTGAATGATCTGAAAGAGATAATTACCCTTTTCCCGTCAGCTAACAATTTCTACTGAGTCAAGACTAGATAGATATTCACCAATGGTGAATTAAAAATATTAATGAATAATAGATCAATCTGTTCAAGACCGCCCTGTAAATATGAATTGGATATTAAAACTCACGACTTTCACGTTCTTGTACGCCGAAAGAAAGATGCTCTAAACTTATAAATTAGCATTTGTGATAATCTTTTATCAATTTAATTTGATTCTGCATTGCACATTCAGCATCGAAAATGAAAGTTTGTATTGCAAACTTTGTTTATATGTACCTTGTTTTTGATAAGTAAATTTTGAATTTGATTGAAGTAATAGCATTCAAGTAGTTGTAAATTTTAGCTCGCTGTAATTAATTAACATTAAATTTATTAATTAAACATTTTAAAGATTGAAATAATATATGCAAGGAATAGTAGGCTAATCATGAATAAAATTAAAAAAAACGAAATTTAAACATCAAATAATTATAGAGTACCCAGATTATTTTCAAGTGAATAATTTAAGATATAGAAACACCAATTCATAGTCTTAGCTTTTAGTATAGCACGGTAGACTTACTTCCTTGTGGTGTACTCTGGCCAACGTATACTCATACAGCAAAGGCCTATAAACCAGCAGTTGACTTCTGACTTCAAACTACCACGACCCGACTGTATGTCATATTTCACCACTTCGTTATACAAAATATGTTTCTACTAAACTCCTACTATGAATTGGAAAGACCCCACACCACAATATTTAAGTTACTATTTATGAATTAGCACATGAATTTATCGTACCACATTCTTAATTAACTTATCTGAGCCGTATTATATTTGATCAGTCTTATCTAATTTAACCTGTAGGAAAGCAATCAAATCCAACCTCCCCAACGAAACAAAATACACACAATATAAGCCTAGTAGATGCACACCAGATAAACCTGGGTAGTATGAAATCTGCCAGCAATCAAATCCCTTCAACGCAATCATTTTACTCAGAAAAAGTGTTGACATCATGAAGGAATTTGACATTAGTGTGAAATCCTGCAAAAAATTTGACGGGTCTTTGTAAACACCAATGAGTTGAGTCATTCTTCCAATTGCATAAATATTTCCAAAGTAACTGATTACAATAACAAACTCAAAATATCTCAATTTTCCAGAAATTTCCATTTATCGGTGTACCATGATGCTCAATTCTTGGTTGCTTGAATCAAAAATCAGTCAATCGATCGATTCAACATTGATTTTGCAACTGGATGAAAAGGGAAAGGGGATTAAGGTGAAAGAATTCGGTTTCCCATAGGGTTATTGACTAAAAGTAGTTCATTTAATTATACAAGTGAATGATCATTTCCAATTTGAACAAATTTAACGTGCAAAGAAATCTCCTTGTGAAGGTTAATTTTGATTGTTCTTGCATCTTGTTACATGATAGTTTTCTTTATAATCAAATGAGCATTATTTCGAAATCAATTGACTCACAAAACCACCAATAAGCATAATATATTAAAGAACTGTGCATTGATAGGAAATATCGTGTAACCGGAAATGAAGTTGGAAACGGGGACCAATAGAGGGTAAGGGATGGGAAATGGAATTGGGAGGGCGAGAGAGAGAGAGAGTTGGTGAAACCAGTTGTACTCACAGGGTCGTAGTGAGTCTGGGAAAATAAGTTGCAAAGGAATAGAGAGACACTTGGAGAAATTGGTGTAGAGGACAATTGAGTTGTATAATTATTTTCGTCCAGATTTCTCTTTGATTTCGTGTAAAACTCACAATAATCCTAATAAATCACCCAGAGAAGTCCTAGCAACAGACTCCAACTGATCGTCAAACGCACACCTTCGTCGTAATAAACTGCAAAGAGAAATAATCGGATAAATGAATAATTAAGGAAATAAGGAAAAAGTAGTGAGGAAATGTTAGACTTCCTTATTAAGATAAACTCATGATTCACAATTAGGAGAAACTATTTCGCCATTATTTGGTGTAAAGGAATGAGTAATAATTTGTATGACGTGGTAGTTAAGTTGCAAACAACTCCACCTTAGTGTTCAAAAATTGTTGGGGATGTATATTGCAAAAGACATTTCCCATTGTAGCTTAATGTTATAATGGTGCAGGGCAGAACTTTGAATGTGAACGTTATGCTGATCAGACGAATTCAATGAATAATTCTTGTTATATATAAAGGAAAAGAAATCATTTGAGAGAAAAAAGATCTGATTTTATTTTTAATAGTGCATAAATTGGTAATGTGGAAATGTTTTAAATTAGTCAAAAATATTTGCACATAAAATGGGTTGATTCGGCGCATTATAACTTTGAAATAGATCACGATTTATCCAAAATGTAGACAAATTATGTTTAATGAGAATAAGTTTGGTAAAGTCAACAACGGTTAATTTTATTACCATTCTCTTCAGTTAAACTCTCTTTTGACTTTCAATAATGATCACGCTGAAATAGTTGTCCCGTTCCAGAAACTGGTCAAACTCGCTAATCGCAAAGTCCAAAATTACGCCAGTGATCTCAAACTCACCAGAAGAACACTTTTGTGATAAAACACACTGAAATCGATTTTGAATTGGTGCGTTCAAGAGATAATTCGAATAATACTTGACACGCGAACTCTTCAAACGCGCCGTGAATCGATCATCATAATCTTGTCAAATACTTACATTTCATTTGAATGAATGAATGTGACCATACATACACCCCCCCCCCTCCCTCCCATTTTAACATTTTTCGATATTTTGAGAAAACGTTCTTGTCAAATGCCTGATTAATTTATCTAATAAGTCAATAGTTTCTAACCCAACTTGAAATTAATATTATTATGCAATTGATTTCATTCCACTTTACTCAAAATAGACTTGTAAACTCATTCCAATAAGGTTGGAATAGCTCTGAGATACGGCTTCCATAGAAAAGTTGGGAAGTATTTCGAAATGTCTAATTAGTTTAAATTGAAATTTACTTTAAAATTGGCTCATTGAAGACAGAAATGTCATCATTATTCCCAAAACAGCTGAAGGTGGGCAATTTGACAGTTTTACTAAAGCATTTGTTTGCTCATCTCTTGAATGAGAAGAAACAATTCAATCCGTTTATTCAATTTCAATGCAATCTGCTGTCACCACGTAAAATTATGCTTAATTTACTGTCAAATGTCATCAACACCAACACATGCAATGCAATCTTCAGTTCCTTCTGAAATGGAAATAACTTATGACAACTAGACTCACATCCATCAACGTAGTCTCGAAGACGATCGACTTTGTAAAGGCTTATCTCCATATGGGGACAGTTGTCAGTGGGCATATAATGGCTTGGTGAGGCGCTTAGACGAAGATAATTTCTTAGCAGACTGGGATAGACATCGTTCCAGTAATTGCATCCCTTTTGGCGAAGGTGAGTCTTGACGTTGTCTTCAGCTAGGCTTATTTCCAAATAGGTCTCTTTGGAGGAGTTGAAAAGAGGCCAGGCACCATCTTTCCCGTCTAACGAAGCTTGTCTAAATTGCAAAGCATTTTAAAAATTGGGGAGAATGCGTACAATTGTTAGCAATGTCGTGGAAAATTATTTTTTTCTCTGACTTACGAATAAAACCGGCTTGTGCCATATGAATAATCTCTTTTGGAACTTAAGATTGAAATGAATTTTTTGAGCGTGATTCCGACTTCGCATGGCTTTATGTTCGATACTTATTACAACTTAATAGTTGTGATCACCATTCTCACTACATTGACTGATTATCGAACAGAATGTCAAGATGAGCTTGATCTGAGAGGGCGGTTGCCACATTTCATGATTTCCAAATTGAGATAAGTGGACACATTCATTATCTTAATTTTTTACACCGAACAGTGGTATTTGAGTAAAAATAGAGTAAAGCTAAAGTAAGCTTTAGAGTAATATTTGGTCAAGTGGGTGATATTTTCGGCAGGTGGAAACAGAAAAATTTTGAAAATTTGATCCTTTAGCTGACGACTACGTCATTTTCGATGTTTCAACGTCCATATTTGCGCCGTTTTGACAATCGGTCTGTGAATTGCTGACAATTGTTAAAATGTTTTATGCCGGTGTCGGTTTTATTTAACTGAAATTTATACGCATTTGATTACAGTTGCTGTTTTTTCTAATTTTTTTCAATCATCTTTCGTTTGTTTTTACTTTTTTCTTCGCGATCCAAAAAAATTTAGATTTATTTTTTCAATTTTGTTTGTAAGATAAATTAGACTAAATTCAAGGTGAGGCAGGTAGATTTGGAAAACTTACCAAAGTGAAATTTTTATCAACACTCAATTTCCTGTTTAATTCTCCAAATGGAATAGGTAAAGCACAATGTAATTAATCAAATTGAACCATTTTAACCGTGACGCCGGACGAATATTTATTTCGAATATAAATTAGGCTCAGTTACTTCGATTCGCTTTTGAACTAAACTTTTTTATAATTTGCTTACTATTTTAACTCTCTGAATTTGAATTTTCATTAAACCAGAAACAGGCAATCTAATTACCCCTTAGAAATGATCGTGAATATGAATCCCATTTCATGAACAGCTGAATTCAATACCAATCTTAACTTAAAACCACGATATACAACGCATTTGTGGGACACACCAGGATTTGGAGTGTACGGCCGTACACATAGAGCTCTGCTCAGAGATATCTAGCAATACGTATTCCCTCAAATAATGTTAGAATTATTTAATAACCCTTCGCATTTGCCAATTTCAAAATTTGCATAAACGTGTACTGTGCAATACGTCTCTTTCCTCCTTAGCTTCGATGTAGTTTAGCTACTTGACAGAGTCTAGCCAGATATAGGAGATACTGTCATAGAGATTTCTAAGGCGGAGAAGACTTTACTAGTGTGGCCGTCCGCTTCACATTGAAATCTTGAAGAGTGAAACATGACCTTTTCTGTCTAATTTCAATTGAAATTGTTCTGAGGAACAAAATTTGGGGTTTACTGAGTAAATAGGGGTAACTGCAATCTACTTTAACAAACCATCTTATATATATCAAATTATTTAGTTTTTATTATATTAACAACTGATGGGCCGAACTGAAAGAACTTCTTTCATTTATTAACTGATTTAACTGGGGTTTTTTGGTGCAAATGCTCAAATTAAACCCCTTAAATGAGTTCTTTTGCAAAGTAATACGAGTCTCTTTAGAGCAATTAGCAACTGATGATACACATAATAGAGCATACATTTTAAGCCAATCACCTCGAACTAAATGGTCGTGACATCATTTCTAGTCAACATTATCTAAAAGTTAAATAGACTCCACTTACCCTGTTTTTGCAAAGTTCACCCAATATTTCATTACGCGTTTGCTGAGCTCGGACTCTTCTGGGGAGAACTCGTAGTATTGTGAATTGAATGGTTTGGAAAAAGGCATTCCAAAGACGTATTCAATTTCATAGCCATGCATTACCCCAGTCCACTGTGGCAAATGGCTTATATGCGTCTTGTACATGAAGTTGAAATACTGAACTTTTGAGTTGGGGATGATTGAAAGGAGTCGTGCAAATAGCAATGTGCTGCACACAAAGTCCAACTCTCCAGTGAGATCATCCAGTTTGTACATAAAATCTAACACCGAACTGATGTCATTCATTGCAATTTCCGTGTTGTAATAATTCATTTCAGCAATTTCGGGACTATTCAAGCCATATTCAATTGCCGTTATGGCTGGAAAAGGGGTGACAAGCTGACCGATACTTGTGAATCGAGTTTCAATCAGTTTTAAATAGTCAATACCCAAGTTCTTAAGTTGTTTAAGTGTTGGAAGGGTAATGTTGCCATCATCATGCAGGAATGAGACTTCTTTCAAACCCAAACCATAGAGGAGCCAAAATATTCCTTCTTTGTCCACATTTCCGATAAGAACTTCTGGAGCATCGACTGCTTTGATGGATTTCAGAATGGCAGACGGGCAAGCAGGTATGAAGTCGCCATCTATTACTGGTCGCATGTAGACATCGAAATACTGTGCGGCGTCCAACAGGAATGATTCGCCAAACTGAGATGTCCAGTACATACTCCCCAAACGAGCTTGCCTTCTCTTCGTTGCAGCAGTTGTAAGCTCGTAGAGAAGATCGAAAAGTGAATGTGCCGGAAGACCTCGTAAGCACTTGACTTCTTTTTCTAGATCTCCTTTGGCATCTGCACATCCGCTGGCTTTGATGAACTTCAGGTGAGAAAAATCCGGAATTTAATTTCAAATTTAAACTTTTAATTTCAAGACATCAAAATCATTTGTACTAATTTAGAACAGCTGCTTCGGAATTGGTCGCATCTTAAAATGTTTTCGACAGTATAATTAAATTACAAAAAAATTAATGAGAATATGAATGAATTTGACAAATCATCAACAAAAGCACAGGCAATTGTTAATTATGCTTTATTTGAAAAAATATTGAATTTTTAATATTATAAAAAATTGAAAACAATAATTGGTCTACAAGTCAAAATGACACTTGATGAAACCTGAAGCTGTAAACTGAAAATTGCCACCAGCTTGATTGTCAACCCAGTTCTGTGTCTACCTCAAAATTTAAAAGTTAAAGTTTATTATGAGCTCTTTTGTCTCTCACAATAATAATAATAATAAATGCAACGTTTTCAGAGCACTGAACACGAATGCTGCCAATCCTAGCGCCAATCTTCGATGGACAAATTAACTCGATTGCGATTTTTAGGATTCGTAGAATTGTGACATTAATAAAATCTCCATACTCCTGTTTAAACAGGGGTGTGCGATAGACTTACCTCCACGTGGTGTACCCTGGGCAACGAATACTCATACGGCAAAAAGTCTATTATTCGGCAGTTGACTTCTGACTTCAAACTACCAAGACCCCACCGCATTTCATATTCGACAAATTCCACAGTACTCACCTTTTTTCTACCTTTGTGTTTGTCTGTCTCTTTCACATCTGTGAATCATTATTCTGCCTCCACTCTCTACTTTTTGCAACTTTGGTGTTACTCTCTAGACTTATTTCACTTTGATGTTCCTTCCCCTCAGTGGAGCCTGAAGTCAACTAAAGGGCTAATGATACCTATCATAACCCCGAAGTCAACTAAAGGGATAATGATACCTATCATAACGGGAAGTCAACTAAAGGGCTAATGATACCTATCATAACGCCTGCCATTTGAAATAAATAAATACTGTTTAAACAGGACAAACATTTTGTTTAAACTGCACTATTAATATCTTTTTATAAAATCACTTTTTATATCAGGCAATTTTATGAATTGAGCAATTGAGTAAGAGAGGTGGCGGTCAATATACGCCTTTGCTACCTCACAGACGATGAATTAACAGCAGTCATTTCTGGTGAAAATCGGGTCAGAAAAGAGGGGCTTATGTGGATGGTTCTATGCATTTTTTTTATCACAACTTATTATTAAAACCTACCTTAATAGATCATGAAAATGATGCCACCAGAAAGGTCACAGAGTGTCTTAGGGACAGAGCAAACTGAAAAGATATCGCAAAGGTGATTGAAACAGTAATGAACTAATTTGGGATATTATTCAAAAAGGATCAATCATTTAAAGGGACTCAAATAGAGGGGCGTGAGTTTAGATGTATACTAAACAGTACACAATTAAATAAATATGATTAAACCTTATGAAAACATATTCTCTATATATATCTTGTAACTATGCGATTAGAAGAGGAAATTGTCCAAGCTAAATCGAAATTAGAATATACATTTGTGTGACAAGGTGAAATTGAACAAAGACTGGTTTCGTTAACGCATTTCCGAATACTACAGAACAATTAAAGGTTCCATGAAATTCTCACAGCCAAGCAGTGAAATCGTTTTAACTTTATTTCAGTATTTGAAGGTTAAGCACAATAACGAATAAATGAATGCGCGTTTTAATATTTTCATAAGATATCTTTCCCAACCTTTAAGGTTTCTAGTTTCTATTCATATCAATTTTGTCATTTGAAATGGAACACGTTACGATTTGAACGTGAATATCATAATGGGCTTGGGGTGCGTGATAGACTTACCCTCACGTGGTGCATCCTGGGCAAATTTTAATAATACGCAAAAAAGTCTATAAATCGGCAGTTAATTTCTCATGTTTACTGCATGTTCGACCACTTCCACAGTACTCGCCTTACTATACCCTTGTCTCTACCTTTACGTCTGTCTCTTTTACATCTCTAAATGACTCTTCTTTTCCCCCACTCGAATATTTCCCACTTTGAAGTTCCTCCCCCCCCCCCATGTGAAGTCCGAAGTCAGCTAAAATGCTTATGATAACTATCAAAACGTCTGCCATTTGATATAAATAATCAAAACGGGCTTAAGTGACATTATCTAAGACATGGGCGTTTTAAAATTTTGAGTCGGGAATATTGCTGCGCAGTGGCATTTCACATGAAATAACTACTTGGCTAGCAGTAAAATGATGCTGACAATTTTAATCTACCCTCGCAGTTATTGATTTTCCTCAGCATTCGTTTACTATTAGATTTAAAAAAAAAACAAATAACACGTTTCCCATTAAGAAACTCAATAGTTTGAAAAGCATAAATTAGATCTCTCAAATTCAAGGCGGAAATATTGAAGACTTCGAAACATATGGACATCAACATTTCAAAAATAACCCTTTTAGCACTAAATAGAATACGCCTAAGTAATTTAAATCATTTTAAGAAATACTACGATGTCTTAATTGGTAATTTCTTTATTTTGAAACCTCAAAACTAATATCGGTTTGAGTAGACAAACGTATTCTTTGCGTCATGTGCCGACTGAGCAGGAAGTTCAATTATTCAGTAATTCCCAGACAAAGCAGAGCAACCGTGGGCCAACCCACTGCCTACAAAAACACCCAAAAATAGCCACAAACCCCAAAACTTATTAAGAGCAACAATTATGCTACAAAAAGACCATGGGATCTCGAAAATTCTCAGTGACACGTCAATTTTAACGGGGATTTAGTAATATAACCTCAACTGTAATTTTGTTCTGATAATGTTTCCATCGCATAGAGACGTCAATGTATCATTTAATGACACTTGAACTATTAGGTTGGCAACTAAGTCATTGCCGCTTTCAAATAAGAAGGCAAATTCGGAATTTTTGTTTAAAAATATAACTTTACTCAATTAGATATTGGCCATTCTTGTCGATGACCTTTTTCCATCGTTCTGGCAGAGTAAAAATTCCCCATTCGTAAAATGTCTGGTCTTTGCTATTAAAAAACTGAATTAGGTGTGATCCGACATCATCCGCGTTGTTAAAAATTTTACCATTTAAAGAGTTTTGCATGGAACGAAACAAATGGTAATCCAAAGGCGCAAGGTGAGGGCTATATGTTGGGTGGGACAAAACATCCCAACCCAGTTCCAATAATTTTTGCCGAGTAACCAAAGATA